AAGCTGCATTTTCAATGCTTATACGATGTATAAATCTTTCCAAAATAAGTGGGGGGCTTGCCCCCATCCCCTCCCCTGGCCCTTCGCCCAGTCTCGATGTCTATTCTATACTCAAAGCATTCATATAGTTATGTATTTACCTAACTGGTATGACGTGGAAAACTTTCAATAATAATAGTGAGTTAATTAAAACAGATGTAAACTAGAAATTTTTAAGTACAGTAAAACGTATGAGAGAGAAAGAATTTTCATAGTTTTGAACAATCAAATTGACCCCTTTTTATGCCCCCGTAAACGAAGTTTCGGGGTATATAGTTTTTGTCGTGTCCGTCTGTCTGTCTGTCGGTCTGTTTGTCCGCAAAAACTTTAACCTTGCTAACTTTTGATTTAGTAGAGATATGACTTTCATATTTCATATGTGTATTCCTTTTGACAAGACCTTTCTTTGGGTACCCAAAATTTGACCTTTTGACCTTGACCGTGGAGTTTGACCCACTTTTACTTGAAAATTTTAATTTTACTTTGGCCATATATTTTGAACAGTACACACCAGGACATTTATATTTCACATATGAAATGTTTGTCAAAAGACCTTTCATTGGATACCAACAACCTTGACCCTTTGACCTTGACCTTGTAGATTTCCATACTTATAAAAAAACTTTAACCTTGGCCATAACTTTTGAACGGTAAGGGATAGGGCTTTCATACTTCATATATTTAATCCTTGTAAGAGGACCCTTTATTGAATACCAAGAACGTTGACCCATTGACCTTGACCTTTGAGATTGACCTACTTTAAAAATGCAATCCTTGACCATAAATTTTAAAGAGTTAGGGCTAGTGCTTTCATACTTTAAATATTTGATTCTTATGACAAGATCTTTCATTTGATAACAATAACTTTGACCCTTTGACCTTGGAGTTTGACCCACTTTTACATGATTTTTTTTTAAATTTTACTTTGGCCATATCTTTTGAACAGTAGACACCAGGACATTTATACTTCACATATGAAATGTTTGTCAAAAGACCTTTCATTGGATACCAACATTCTTGACCCTTTGACCTTGACCTTGTAGATTTTTGTACTTGTGAAAAAACTTTAACCTTGGCCATAACTTTTGAACTGTAAGGGATAGGGCTTTCATACTTCATATATGTAATCGTTGTGAAAAGACCCTTTATTGGATACCAAAAGCTTTGACCCTTTGACCTCGACCTTTGAGTTTGACCTACTTTAAATAAGCAAACCTTGACCATGACTTTTAAAGGGTTAAGGCTAGTGCTTTCATACTTTTTCATATTTGATTCTTTGACAAGATCTGTCATTTGATAATAATAACTTTGACCCTTTGACCTTGACCTTGGAGTTTGACCTACTTTATAAAAAAATGTTGACCATAACTTCTGAATGGTTAGGGCTAGGGCTTTCATGCTCCACATAAGTATTTTATGTGGCAAAACCTTACATTTGATACTAATTACATTGACCTTTTGACCTATGACCTTGGAGATTTTTGTACTTATTAAAAAACTTTAACATTAGCTTACTTTCAATTTCACAATTGTTTTCCAGTGGGAATACCCTACGTTTGGTACCAATTAATTAAAGTAGCATTTAAGAAAAGCTTAATCTTTGCTATATTGTCATACGGGGGCATCAGTGTTTTACAAACACATCTTGTTATTATGATAAATGCTAAGTTGCTTGAAGCTGTCCTCTGTTATTCCCCCCTATACACCTTTACATCTACTTATCAAAGACTAGAATTAAAAAAAGAAGAAACGAATTAATGAACTTAAACAATCGTCACTCTTTTTTTCAAGACCCTTTAATTTTCCCTTTTATTTCATAAAAATCTAAAATATTTAAAACTTCAATATCTCAGGTCCTACAGTGACTTTATCATATAAAAGTTATCAAACCAGGATCTGTTATTTATCGATTATCGATTATACCGATTACTTGAAGGAATATTGATCAATCTTTACATTTTTTCCAAAGTGCGTTAATATGGTCGATATTAACGCACTTTGAAAAAAAAAATATTCTTTTCAAAGTGCGTTACCTTAATCCCAAATTTTAACGCACTTCGAAAATTTTTTTCAAAGTGTGTAATTTTTCAAAGTGCGTTGTAACACTGCACATATAATTTTTACGTAGTGCAGTGCACCATGACGCTCAATGACGTTTCGATTTTTGGTTATGTTTTTACGGGTTGATCATTAATAAATGGCTATAAAGAAGTCAAGAGAGCTCCAAATTTTTGTATATTTATTGGAAAATAGGTTACGATTTTATCTGAAAAGTTTGACCGTTTTCGTGGAAATTGCGCGCTCACAATTGAACTTGTCCGCGAACTTTTCTAACACCCCTCGTATATGTTATAGATCATGTGAGTCACTAAGTGACATGATGCTATATTTTTGTCCGTTGTTGTGCGTTGTCTGTAGTTTGTAGACGTTTGAACTCCTTCTACTTCCCATTAAAAGCTGAATTGATTTTAATCAATTTATGTAACTAGCATCTTTTAACGGAAGCTTAAAAGTGCCACTAATATTTTTTTAAGTTGGAAAAAATTACAATGTTACAGTATAAAAAAAAGAATAGATCATTTTGATATTGGTCCTACTCTATGAAAGGTAATTTCCACATTAAAGTTCGTAATTCCTATTTTAACTTCTTTTCCAACTTGAATTTTTTTTAACTCTGAAGTTGGATACAGTTCCAACTTTAATTTTTGGCATTTCTAACTTGAGCTTTTTAAAAAAACGTTTTCTTAAATTATAATTACTACCATATTACAAAAATGTTTAAATTTTTATTTATTATTGTTTTTTTTTATCATCCTGTGTTTTCTATACCTTTGATCCAGTGTAAGACTATACTGTGAATATATGTAACAAATCCTACATTTTCATGATGATTTAACTTGTCGTATTGCACTACCATGACATACTTGTATAAATATTAAATCATATTACATTATACATCTATACGATTCAAATGTAAACAGTTTAATCATATTGTAATTTTTTTATGCCCGCTGAGGGCCCTTGATTGGTGAATAAACTGGCATTGCGGTTATAGAGTAATATACTAGATTTCGTTCACCTGATTTATATATAAGGCTATATGACACATCAGCCGACAAGGGATGCTTAATCCTTCTATGCAACTTATTCCCATTCTTGCCTTGTCCTCTGCTTAATATTGATGATATTGCTTCCTGTTCATTTACATCAACTTTAAGTTTTCATTTGTCAACTCTCTGATTAAAAAGTCAATAATCTTGCTCAAATATACAACACAGAGATATTATACCTATCCGTATTTCAACATATGACAAAACACAATAGAGTAGATTTCGGGGTTTCTGGGTGACGTACCTCTGTGCAATTCTTTTAAACTAAGCTTGTGGTCTTGGTGCACAAAAAACAGGACCGGTTCTCCAATAGCTGTTTTACTATGTTGGTCCCGACGAAGTAAGATTTTCTCCGACACAGTAACGATTAAAATTTTCTGCGTGCGACACAGTAAAAATTTTGCCGACACAGTAAGATCGGTTATAATTAGAAAACAAGAGGCCCAAGGGCCTTGAATCGCTCTTCTGATATATTTGTACAATCTATCACTTCTATTAGAAGCCTCCAACTCTATTAGTATCATAAGACCCAAAATGCATTAACTTACAAAGATTGATAATATTTAGCCATTTAAGACTGAAGATATTATAATATAATTATAAAATACCATAAGTAGGTCACAGTGACCTACCTTTTGATTGAAATTTCTGAGAACTCAAGATACAGTAATTGACAAAGACTGATGATTCTAAGTAAATAAGAACCTGATATATTCAAAAGTATGTCACCATAACCTATTTTTTAGTCAACCTTCTCTGAAAACCCAAGATGCATCATCTGACAAAGTTTGACGATTCTAAGCCAAAAAGTATCAGAGATAATTAAATATAGCCTTCAAATGTTAAAAGTAGGTCACGGTGACCTACTTTTTGGTCGACATTATCCAAAAACCCAAGATGCCTAAACTGACAAAGTTTGATGATTTTAAGCCAATAAGTACCTGATATATTCAAAAGTAGGTCACCGTGACCTACTTCTTGGTAGACATTTTGTGAAACCCTAAGATGCCTCAACTGACAAAGTTTGATGATTCCAAGCCAATAAGTACTAGATATAATCAAATATAGCCATAAAATGTAAAAAGTAGGTCACAGTGACCTACTTTTTGGTAAACGTTTCAAAAATCCAAGGTGTCTAAACTGACAAAGTTTGATGATTCTAAGCTAATACGTACCTGAGATATTCAAAAGTAGGTCACCGTGACCTACTTTTTGGTCGATATTCTCCGAAAACCCAAGATGCCTAAACCGACAAAGTTTGATGATTCTTAGCCAATAAGTGCCTGAGATACTTAAATATAGTCATAAAATCTCAAAAGTAGGTCATTGTGACCTACTTTTTGGTCGTGATTTTCCCAAAACCCAAGATACATCACCTCACAAAGTTTGATGTTTCTAAGCCTATAAGTAACGGAGATACTTAAATAAAGCCATAAAATGTCAAAAGTAGGTCACCGTGACCTACTTTTTGGTCGTCACTCTCTGAAAACCATATAGGCATTGACTCACAAAGTTTGATGATTCTAAGCCAATAAATACCAAAGATACTTAAATATAGCCATAAAATGTCGAAAGTAGGTCATCGTGACCTACATTTAGGTCGAAATTTTTCAAGGACCCAAGATGCATATACTGACCAGGTTTGATGATAGTAGGTCTGAAGGTAATCAAAATATGCGTTTTAAACAATTTGAAAACAAATTCAATCAAAGGCCTGAAGGGCCTGCGAGTTGACTCGCTCGAGTCAATTGAGTCTTTTCATACATATGGGCACCATACCTCAATATATTCAGTTTATTTTGCATCTTAAGGGATTGAATACTGGTATTATATGTCTGATCCATGTTCTGTTCATAAATAAAGTGTATATTGCTTTTCTTTTATAAATACAGGTTGGCACTAATGGGCTTCCGTATTATTTTGTAACTGGATTCTATAATGAATTTCAGCACATTAGCTGAAGTGGTCAGTGTTATGGGATAATTAGGTTAAAGATTCACACAGCAAATCTGGATTCTAAAAATAGATTTTCAACAACAACTAGCTGCAGCTAATGAGAGCAGCAGGTGTTTGTGTTAGGGAGTATTCTAGGTCAATTATAAATAAACTTCAGATGGGAAGATTAGATCCGCCTAACATGCTTTAACATATATTCATACGCAGTAATTTTACATCATACAGGTATTTAATCAAAAATTTCTTTAAAAGCATATGAGGCAAAAAGAATGTTACAGTATGAAATTTTATACAGTTTTTACCTCTTAAGTTTATACAATCACTCAAACCAAAGCATTTTTTGCTAGAACTATTATATTTGGCGTATGGATCACCTTGATGAATGTGTGAAAAATTTTACAGCTCTGAAACGGTTATGTCGACAGGGAGTAGCTCGCTACGCGAGCCAACTCAAAAAGTAGGTCACAGTGACCTACTTTTTCATAAGTATGTTTTAAGGTCCCAAGATGCATCAAAGTACAAGATTTGATGATTCTAAACCTCCCAGTGTCTGAAATAAGGGGTTTAATGTTTTTAAATGGATAAGTCATAAAGTTCAAAAAGTAGGTCACAGTGACCTACTTTTAAGTTGACGTTGTTCGAGGACCCAAGATGCATCAACTGACAAAGTTTGATGATCATAGGCCTTAAAGTGTCCAAAATATGCCTTCAAATCAATTTGAAAGGAAATCCCCGCAAAATTTAAAAAATAGGTCACCGTGACCTACTTTTGAGTTAACATGATGTGAAGTCATAAGATGCATCAACTTACAAGATTTGATGATCCTAGTCCTTATAGTAAGCAAAATATACACATTTTTATTAATTGTAAATTTAGGTCAACTTTGAAGTGACCTTGAGACCACGCCCTTTGCCCCAGGGTAATTCCCCGTGCAAATTTTAATCTTCGACATATCCTGATTCTTGTATGTAAGTTTGGTGAAAATCTGCCTGGTGGTTATGGAGAAGATTTTTTTAGCAACCAGTACTTTTGGTTTTGTTTTCCTGAGTATCTCCCCTTGTTTTAGGGTCCCAACCCTTATTTTTGTATAAATGGTAGCCCTTGGGCCAAGGATACCCTGTAACAAATTTGGTACTGATTGGCCAAGGGGTTCTTGAGTTATGGCCCGTATTCTAAAAAGTTTACGCACACCGCACAAATGGCCATAGCATTAGCTCTTTGAGCCTTTGGCTCAGAAGAGCTAATAAGGATGAGCACTTAATCAGTGTATATAAGACCTTCACTTTGCATTTTCAATTATCTCCTAAATCCTCGCCGGACTTGAAGCATGAAGGAACGAAGACAAATAATTCGTTTTCACAGGTAAACTGGTATTTGCATAATTTTTTTTGTTGTCCCCCGCTTGAAAAGTAGGGGATATTAATTTGGGTTTTTCCGTCCGTCCGTCTTTCTGTCTGTCTGTAACGCTTTCGTTTCCTCGCGATATCTCGTGAACCCTTTGAGCTTTTGCAATCAAATTTTACATAACAACTTTCTGTGGCATAAGGAAGACCCCTACAGATTTTGAGGTCAAAAGGTCAAAGTTCAAGGTCGTAAACTTATACATTCTCTCTGTATGAAACACTATCCTTTCCGGGCGATATCTCACGAAGATTTTGAGCTTTTGCAATGTAATTTTATACCAAACGTCCCTAGGATTTCTCTCAACCCTCTCAAAGTGCCCCCTGTTTCTTTAATTAGTATTTATTGTATTACATATCGCTATTTTTAGCACTGGGGCATGAGGAAAGTAAATATGTATAAAACAGGTTCTCGGTGGACTGTATATTCTTATTACATCTTTTAGAACTGTTTAATAAAGGTTAAATTAGACACCATGCATTGTGTAAAATTCTGACAATATCAAACGTGAAAATTTACATGTATCTGACTTCACCTTTGCATATAATTTTCGCCTATGTAAAGTAGCTCCGTGGTCTGGTGATATGTCTCTCGCTTCACATGTGAGAGGTCTCGAGTTCGAATCCCGAACGATTCATGTTCTCTTTTTACGAAATACTTTTTTTACTAAATGATTGTATTCAGCATGTGAAATGAAAAAAATATGAGGTCTGACTTGTACAAACTCATAAAATCATCATTACAGTGTGATAAATATTCCATATAAAAAGAATCTTCTATACACATAATAATTTCAAAAGAATAAGCAATCACATCTTCATACTAGTATCTATATTGGCATATTTAATTGTCCCCCCGCTTGAAAAGTGGGGGATATATTAATTTGGGTCTGTCCGTCTGTCCATCTGTCATTCTGTCTGACTGTCTGTAACACTTTCGTTTCCACACAATATCTCGAGAACCCTTTGAGCTTTCGCAATGTTTGCATATCAACTCCATATTAATTTTGAGGTCCAAAGGTCAAGGTCGTAAATTCGCAAATTCTTTTATAACACTTTCGTTTCCGCGCGATACCTCAAAAAACCTTTGAGCTTTTGCCATGAAATTTTACATAACAACTCCATGTGGCCTAAGGAATAAACCTATTTATTTTGAGGTCAAAAGGTCAAAGTTCAAGGTCGTAAACTTATACATTCTGTCTGTGTATAATACTATCCCTTCTGGGCGATATTTCAAGAGGATTTTGAGCTTTTGCAATGTAATTTTATGCCAAAACTCCCTAGAACCTCTCTCACCCCTCTCAAAGTGTCCTGCCCTGTTTGTTTTATTAGTATTTATTGTATTACATGTCACTATTTTTAGCACAGGGGCATGAGGAGAGTTACTAACTTATAAAACAGGTTCTCAGCGGACTTTATATTCTTATTACATTAGAATTGTTTAATAAAGGTTTAATTAGACACCATGCATTATGTAAAATTTTGACAATACCGAACGTAAATATGTAAATACATGTATGTGACTTCATCTTTGCATATAATTTTCGCAACTATAAAACAGTTCCGTGGTCTAGTGCTATGTCTCTCACTTCACATGCGAGAGTTCCCCGGTTCGAATCCAGGAAGATCCATTTTCTTTTTTTTCCAAATACTTTTTTTTAACTGAATGATAGTATTCAGCATGTGAAATGAAAAAAAAATATGTGGTCTGGCTTGTACAAACTCATAAAATCATTATTACAGTATGATAAATATTCCATATAAAAAGAATCTTCCATACACATAATAAAGAAAAAGCAATCAAATCTTTATATGCATATTGACATACATGTATTTTATTTGCTTCATTATACATGTATACATTTAATAATTCTACAAATTCAGTGAGGGGGGTCTGACTTTTTCCCTAAGCGGGGACAGGAATTCTCTGAATTAGCTTGTTATTTTTTTTATTATACAGAATATATAATGATTCAGTCGCAATTTTTTTATGGCGAAGACACCGAAAATTTTAGTGCTTTACGTAAACTCTGCAACACAGTTAAATTTCAAACGCTGGAGAACCCTGAAAAAAGATTGTTTATATTCTATAAACAATGTCAAATACATGATTTTTGTTTGAAACTTGTATTATTCTATCATGAACTTCTACAAGCTAAATATAAATAATATTGATTGTAAAGAATTACCAAAAGTACACAAATGGTCAACTACATTGAATAAGTAATGTATCAATTACATTACCATAAATCTTAATATTTATATTTACATATTATTACACATATCAATTACACTTATACAAAAAAGATTGTACTTCATTACAAAAGTTACAAATACACCACATATACAGATACACACATTTATAGTTCTAGCTGCAATAATGTATCACTTCCCATATTTTTTTTTCTAATGAAAGAGCTCAAGAACATATGAAATAAAAAAAAAAGTATCAGAAAAGGCTACATTATTACAGGTAATGCAGTTCTGGTAAGTGTAAATTACCTACGAAAAAATATTGCACCAAATATGAAATCAGTTTAGAAATAATTTTGCTCAAAGTAAATGTATAAAGAGTTGTAACATTTAACATTATTCTTGTATTAAGGCACAAAATGTTACACAAAGTAAATGCAAAAGACCAGTGAAAATATCAATGTAAGTTCATTTTCTTTTCAAATATGGTCCATGAAAAAAAAAATCAATAAAATATCAGCAGAAGTATTTGTATCATCTTTTTCTTCTTTGCTACATGTAACATATGTAACCTATATGCATACAAATGAAACACCTATGGTGATAAAGCCTACGTTTTTAAAACAATTTCAATTCACTGTATATCGATGCTTCTATGTTGAAACAAATTCATAGCCCTGCTGTGGACACCATTATATATTTTATGTGAAAGTCTGCCTTGGGTCTTACTTTCCCAAAAAAGGACATTTTTAGATTTTCTCAATGTATCTTAAAAGTTTATATGGATCTGTTATTTCTCAATCTGGACTAAACGTTCTTCAGATGGGTTTTTTCAATGACTTGAGCATATTTTGGGGGTACACTTTTTACATAGGACCTGCATGTTTTTTTTTTTTTAAATGTTTTTCACCCTAATTTTAGATGTGCTTTTTTACACCATTGCACACAATACATGCAACTTTGTGGTATTCATTAATTATTTTAAAAAATGGCATTGTCTACCACTTGAGAAATGGAAAAGAGAGAAATTAAGTTAGCTCTATGTCATAATGCTCTTATTTCTGATTAAATAACAATTACATACAATATTATCATTAAAAAGTACAACATTTAAATACAGTAAAATAAACAAAAATCAAATTAGAAACTGTATTTCCTAACCTGAAAATTAACAATGTTGAAATAAATAATTAGGAAAAATAATAATACAAACAATTTGCCAACAACATAATATGCCAGAGATTGCGTATTCAGTCACACTTCTTAAGAGCAGAGTTTGACATCAATATTGTTTATTTTAGTGTATATAAACGGCAGGCTACTCAGCCATAATTTACATGTTATTCATAAAAATGTTCAATAAACATCAGGGAAACTCTTCTTTCAATTGTAAGTTTCACGAATAAATACACAAACATTGCATTAAATACTTGAGTTCATTCGTTAAAAAAACTTGAATGATAACAAATTGATTGATCTTGAATAATAGAAGATCTCTGGATTTGGATGCTAAAAGCCAAACAGTAAATTTGCCAAATCCGGTAATACCTAGTTCCAAAGAAATTACATGTAGCTGGATTTGGCAACAGGCCAGATTAGATTACATTTTAAACAAATGAAATAACCTTAAGGGACTTGATATTTACATCATATTAGACAAGATGTTGGAATTCACAGCATTTGAAATAGACAAGTTAATAGACTGTAATTAGCTATTCAAAGATCAACTTCTCATTTCAGCCTCAATTTCCTCAAATCACACATCAAATAGTTTCATCTGCATTTGCTCAGCAACTTCAAAAATATTGACCAGCAGTAGTTATAAAGTTTCTTTCAAAACATGAAATTGTTCAATATAGACAAAAATAATTTGTCTCAGGCAAAAAAAAATTAAACAAAAAAAAACTGTTAAAAAAAATCAAAACCCAATGAGAATGCTACATTATAAATGCCTACACAGAGAATACAGCTTTTTTTCGAACAATTTGGTCATGGTATATAATATAGACTTAAATATAAACTACATGTATATGATTTTAAGTAGAACATAAATATAAATATTCAATGTATAATTGCACCACTTCAATGCTCCTGCTTTGCACGATCTTCTCTCTGTTTCTGGATTGTGTCAGCATTATACAAAGCCTCCTTGGCCAAAAAGTTTTCTCTGAGCATCTGTAACTTAACTTTGAAAGGCATGTCGGGAATTAGGTACATCACAAGCCACGTACAAAACACCACTAAATTCTGAAAACAAAAATAGCAAGCTATGTACAAAACACTATTAAATTCTGAAAAAATATAATAAAGCCAAAATCACTGAAGATATATATACCATATAAGTGGAAATTTTAGCAAGACCCAAATTTAGCGAATTGTCCTTACTGTGCTTACAAATGGGTTTTAAATTTTTAGAGAGCGATTTTCGAGATATAAAGAGGTCACCAAAGAAGCCATTACAACTAAATTTTGTATTACAGATAAATTTTTACTGTCACAAAATTAATATAAAATGACCAAGATTTAATGAATTAAAAGACAAATATTACATGTACTGTGGAATTATTTAGGTTCATTGGATTCCACAGTTATACACATATTTTTGGGGCTGAATGCCAAAGAAATTCCAAGCTTTATTCATTTTCATTTCTATTTTCAAGAAATATCACAATGACCAGCATATATAAATGTACAACAATATTATTGGAAATTCTTAACGTTTTTTTTTTCTTTTAGGAAAGAGCAAGGGCTTACCTCAAAAACAACAACAAAAGCCAGTTTAGCTGCAATGATGTGCCAATACGCCATAGTGAAGTCATAGTCTCCAGGCATGCCGGGGTCTTCAGCAAAAAATCCTCGGTACCTGGAATGTATAACATTTTATCTAGGAGCAATTTGTGGTTTGAGGGTATTTCTTGTAATTATTCTTTTAAGTAAAAATGAAAGTAAATATAATGAACACAGAAACTTAAACTATAGCAATTAGCCCTGTAATGCTGGCTAATTTTACAGTGAGATTCAAACACTGTTACTCACCTGCATTCAGTAACGTTGCCAAACACATCCATTTTCTTGTCATCGGGGATACTTTGGTCCTGGAAGTACTGCACCTTAAACACGGACAGACTGAAGTTGGTGTACCCTGACAGTGTTTGATTACTGTAGCCATAATAATAGACCAACTTAGGGATAAACTCCGATGTAAACGCAATGATCGCAGCCTAAAAACAAGGAAAAAAGTATTATTATTTAAAAATTCAACATACTCACACACACACCCTCTCACACACAAAATTTCTGATTATTTTTGTTTTATGAAAAAAGAGAACTATTACCTATAAAGTTGAATTATTGAGAATATTTAATTAAATAAATCTCATCACTCTCTATTTGTTGGAATAATAATCATACTCACACAAAATTTAGAATTTCAAAAAAAATATTTTTTATTCTTAAAATACAACTACACTTGTGTATCTACAAATTGCAGGGTTTTTCTAAACTTTATCATACTTGTATCCTAAAAATTAATTTACATGTCATTGTTCAGTAAATGATAGATAACGTACATAATTTGTACACAGATTGTAACTTACATTAGAAACCACTGCTATAGCTGAGATTCCTCGTAAGATTCCAAACCAAATACCTACATCACATGATTAAATTAATTATCACATAATACCTACATCACATGATTAAATTAATTATCACATGACTTACTTATTTTAAAATTAAAAAAAATTGATAAGAATTATGAAGAAATTTGTTTTTAATAGTAATACCATATAAGTGGAAATTTTAGCGAGACGCAAATTTAGCGATTTGTCCTTAAAAACTGGTAATCTATTTTTATCGAGATGTGATTTAAGTGTTTTTAAAATGCACATTAAAGACTGAAGCTATAACAAATAAAATGCAATTAATTTTTAGCGATATTCAATTTTAGCGATCGCGGCAACCTAGCTAATAATGCCAAAATTAAATCCTCGCTAAAATTTCTAATAGAACGGTATTGTAATCACAATTCAGTGATGAGTATTTCAACAAAAAATATATTGCACAAAAACTAAAAATACATTATCGAACAATTAATTATCAAATGAGAATATATGACATGACTGATTGTATCATTTAATCTTAATCAAAGAACATATATTGACTTCAAAGATGGATCTAACATCCGATTATTATGATTTTTTTTCTTACAATTTCCTTCAGCCTAATGAGAAATAACTTCAATGTAGAACTAAATGCAAGTCTTTCTCTATCTTTATTGTGCTCATTCATTCCAACATTACCTATATCTTGAGCTCGTTCAATCTGACTTTACCTATATCTTGAGCTCGTTCAGCTAAGGGTCTCTTCCACTGTGTGGTGAACTTGTAAGCATCCACTCGGATCTCTATAATGTTGTTAATGAGTGCAAACAGAGGTGCTAGAGGAAAAGCAGCCACAAAAATTGTCACAAAGCCATACTGAATCACTGAAAAGAAATTAACCAAAAAATCAACAAAGCCATTATGATTCTATGAAAAGATTGACACAACTGGAGATCAAACAAAAGATATGCTGTGAAATATTCGTGGGGGGTTAATTTTCGTTGTTTTTGAGGTATGAGGACACCCAAGAATTTATGACCACCACGAAATGTGAAATTTTATATGCATTACTACAGTACCGACCAGACCCAACCTGACACCAAAGCAGTCCCAGAAAGCAGTCCCTGGGACTGCTCTGGGACTGCTCTGGGACCGCTATGGGACTGCTCTGGGACTGCTATGAAAAGCAGTCCCAGCAGTCCCAGCTGCCCCTGGGACTGCTTTCTGGGACTGCTTTGTTCACTGATGTGTGACAAAGGTTCTGAGTGACATGATAGCTCCGCCCCCTTGTGTATTCTGAATTTGCAGGCTCCCTATTGTTTTGTTTACTTGCAGCAGAGAGGAGTTTTAACTGTTTAATACGCAAGGATTTCTTATAATCTTTTAATAACTGGAGATTACATGTTTTATAGTTAATTTATAGTTTTAGGAACTGTATATTTACACAAATGTAATAAAGAATATTTTAAAAAATAAAGTTGATATATAAGGAAGTCAGGAGGAGATTTTTATTTCTAAAGTATATAAAACTACTCATAAGAAAAAATATCTACATGTAGATTTCTTTTCTTATTAAATCTGAAATTAAATACTCACATTTTTCATATGGCACTATTTAAAAAATCATTACATTTAGATATAAGATATTTTAATTGAAAAGGCTACATGTTTTACAAGCACAATGCTAAAAGAGTATTTCATACAACCCTCAAATAAAAATCTAACAATTTATTTTATGACATGAAATAAAATTATGCCAACATTCTTCCGTAACATAAGCAATTTGAACAAATATACGGGAATTTACAGATGAATTAGTTTTTAATTTATGAATAAGTTATTAAAAGAGTAAATTAAAAAAAAAAATTAATAAACAGTTGAAAACCTGTAATACCTGGAATTGTGATTTATTTCTTTTTTGTTTTGTTTACCTGGCCATTAATGTGTATGAACACCTGTGGTTTCAATCGCCTTTGGGCAGAAAATCAATCATGCATGTTATTTGGGTTCACGTATCAGTATTACACATCATTGAACATGCTGCACAATAAACAATGACCCTAATTTCAATCTATGTAAAAAATGTAAAACATAAAAAAGATAGATGAAATGTGTATAAATTTCTTTCAAGATTAATTAATGTTGAACATAATCTTAGGATTCTATACTGGTCACTAATACAATTTACAAATAAAACAATAATTTTTAAATAAACATGTCAGTAAAGAATAATCAATACTGAAAAATATTACTTGGCTAAATTGCCATCGGATTTTTCAAAAGCCCATATACCGGGGTACTTTTTAAAAAATGCCTTTAGAGTATCCCGATAGTATGGAAATCGGCCATGATGTATAATGAATAGATCTATTTAAAACTAATTCTGGTGAAAAATAATTAATTCAACTTTAATTTTCTGTATAGAAAATAAATATGGGAGCCAGTATCAATCACAAAAAAACCAAGATAATTGTGATTAAATATACATGTTCAGTGTAATTCATTTATGTAGGTGTGTAAGCTTTATTCCTTCAATAAATATCATTTCAAATTGTTTCAAATCTATGCGGGTACTGCTCATACATGTAAATGACCTTCACATTGTAAGGATTCCTGGCATACTACTCAGAAAAAAATTCAACTGCCTTTTATAGTTCCATTGTTTATTGGAAATCTCATTTCTGAGTTAGCCCCGCCCTTTAAATTAATAAACCCGCCCACTGGGACTGCTGGGACTGCTTTCTGGGACTGCTGGGACTGCTTTCTGAGACCGCTGGGACTGCTGGGACCGCTCTGGGACTGGTGTGGGAATGCTCTGGGACCGCTGTGGGACTGCTTTAGCAGTCCCAGAAAGCAGTCCCCGGGACAGCTCTGGGACTGCTTTGTGTCAGGTTGGGTCTGGTCGGTACTGTACTTGTCATTCTCAACCAACGAAAACAAATCCCCACAAACTAATATCTTTCCTTTGAACCTAAAAATTTTAACCCATGAAAAATATGTGATTTACAGTATATATTCTCCCACCCTTAATATGGAAGCAAATAGGAGGCTGAGGACAAGATAACATTACCCATTTCTAAGTATTCATCAAACAGTCCTAGAGCCGGCATGTTGGCCAGGTTATAGTCCTGCTCCCAGGATTACTTACCCATTTCTAAGTATTCATCAAACAGTCCCAGAGCTGGCATGTTGGCCAGGTTATAATCCTGTTCCCAGCGGGAGTACACCTTCTCTTCTGACTTCTCCTTCAAGGACTGACGTGATCGGAACCATACCATCACCTTACTATATCAAATACAGACAAAGCCTTGAAGAACATCTTATTCGTTCTTGTTTAGATTTTTTTCTTCTTTCAAAGGGAAAAAATCTAAACACTCAGTTTCTAAAATATTTATTTGCTGATTTGGACTCATGAACACATTAGAAAGATAAATTATTCAAGGAGTAATAATTATGGCAAAAAAAAATGCATGAAAAACATACATCTGCACAGTAAAAATATACCTAAGTGGACAGATGATCAAGAGATTTTACATTCATTTGGTTTCAGCTCCATAAAAATAAAAGCCAGTTATTTTACTTCATGAGTGGTACTTCTCAATATATTACACCATAATGAATTCCTACTTTACCTAGCATATACCGGTATATTAGGAGTTTTCAGTCACTATTTAGTGATGACTTACGGTATGACAATCTCCTTAAGATTGTTAATGATTTGTTTTCCCACCATGACGATGCCCAGCTGTATACAGAGCTCAATCAGGCAACCTGAGGGGTCACACTGAAAAACAAAAGTTATATGAGAATTCAGAATGAAAACAAAGGTACACTGATAATTTGGAGTAACTTGTGTTTAATCTGAATTAAACTCTCCATGTGAACAAAGCATTAAATTGAGGAAACAAGTAGAAATTTCTTAAGATTGAATTGTATTTCAAATTATCTGAATTGGGGCAGTTTACTTTCTTTTATGTGCACATTCTTTAACACTTGCTCAATTTACAAGTGAAACAAATTTCAGTTCATCATACATGAAATATACAACAAATTATTTATTATTTCAATAAGGCAGAATACAGGACAGAGCTATATGAGTTACCTCCTCTTGTCTACTGTTTATCAAACTGCGATTATAATCTCCAGGCCTTCCCACAAATCTATCAACCAAAAATAAAATAGATTTAAATATAGTTTATCAATGTTTCAAAATCAAAGTGGTGATCTTTTACTCAAGAACTGATAAGAATTTTACAGCTGATAACATTATACAAATTCCCAATGTGAGACATGGAGACCGGTTCTTTGGATGAGACCATAATTATAAACCGAGGTCCTGTGTCGCAGTAGGTGCTACTGTAGCACGAAAAAGAACCCTCCCTGCTCAATGGCTGCAAGCACTGAGTATACAACAAAATTTGCACCTCTCCAGCAGCAAGTGGTAGCGTCTCCATAAAATGAGTGAAAAATTCTCAAAAGTGACATTAAACAACATACAAACAAAACATTCTACAGACTTACTTTCCTTTGAAGAAGGCAATGTAAAATATGGAAGAGTAGAAGTTGACAAATTGGAAGAGGAACATTTTGAAGGTGAAGGCATCCTCCCACTCTGTCAGGGTCCTGTGTTGCTCTGAAAGAGAGGGGGGTAATTATAAAAAAAATTTGAATTGTTTTCATAATTAAGATAAACCACCTAAGCTGAATCTATCTTTAAGGCCTTATTCTAGAAGTCAACAATTCAAAGGGGTTAAATATAAAATAATTAGATTGCTAAATTGCTGTGTGTGTGACGAAAAGTTTAATTTCTAAATTCATCAAAAAATCCACAGGTCTAAAACATTTACTTTAAGTTTTAAAGATATGCTTAAAGCTAGATCAAAGAGCAAAATTGAATTTAATAATACAACTCATAAAATTTCATCAAAATTCAAAATTAAATTTTCATTTTTCTTTTTTTGAAACTCTCTGAAAAAAAAGTTAACTTAACAATATAAAATTTAAAATTGTAAATCATGCTTCAACAAAAAAATTTTTTTTTTTTAATTCCAAGCTCAATCAAAATACAATTTTTTAAAATTCCCAGCTCAATCAAAAATTTTTTCATCAATAACTTAAGAATCCACAAAATTGTGCATCATGCATGTTTAAACAAAAAATTGTGAAAAATACACAGTTAAAAATATATCCTGAATTCAGTTATTTTAAATTTAATATCATCAAAAAAGTGAAATAAACAAAATACTTATAAATCTACTAACTTCAATTTTAAATAAATTCCTAAACCAGGCAAGAACATGGTGACGTACATCACATCTCTGTGTTGGGATAGATTATGTGATGAGTTTATAATGTATACATATTCACCTTAAAATCTTCTCATCAGCAATATAGCATGCAAACTATACAAATAACATTAATTAAGATTTCTCATGAATGAACAAATAATATATTCTACATATTATTAATAATTTTTTATTTGTACATCCAGACAAGACAATACATTGTTGTATATACTAGCAGAGAAATACATTTGTGAAATAAGACACAACTCACCTAATTCTGTGAGGAAATACGCCACTTTTTGATAGAACTACAAGATATTTAACATTGAAATTACACTTTCACACACAATAACACCTTTTTATTATATTAAAGTACATTCACATATAAAAATCTCAATCTGTTTGAAATATTTTTAACTCCAAGATTTTAAAAATCTTTTCAATCAATCTTGGAACATTTCCTACTTCATTAACATGACGTGTGTTTGATTTGTAAACACAATTTAAGATTATAAAAAGAGAAAATGAATATTTCATATATATCATAACTTAATACATTTACTCTCAATAACTCAACTTTTATCCAATGGAAACTCAAGTAAAAATACAAATGAGTTTCCATGCAAAATATGATTGGTGACACACATACATGTATAACTAATACATACCGTATAACTGGATTTTAATGCGGGTGCAAATTTTTGCAATTTGATCCTGAAATAGGTATATTTATTTTTTGCGATTTTAATTTTTGCGATTTCACTTTGACAAAAAAGTCTATTTTGATTGAATTTTATTACTAGACTGAAATTTACTCTCTATCTCTCGAAGTTTTGATTGCGCTTGTATACACGCCAATCAAGCGTAAAATAGATGCAGTCTGGACTTACCTGGAAAGAGTGAAGGCCTTGGGCTGTTAATTGGGTGTTTACATAGATGACACTATACCTGTGGGTCGTCCGTGTGTTGTTATAATTAATGGGTTATTATTCACAGGGTAAATTAGAAACAAAGTCACAATTATTTTGAATTGAAACCGAGACGATAATTCTTTGAGATTAATTTAAAGAAGTTCATTTCAGTAAGTTCCCACAGACTATGAACTTTCATTTATGATTATAAAGAGTTTATATAATCCCAGTATAGGAAATATTACACAAGAAATTATTTTCTCAAGGACAGAATACCGGTTAAGAAAAATATGGTACACACTGGTGAAGGACACGATCAAGCCGCGGAATAGCCAAACTGACAATAGTGCTATTCGGGTTTCATATAAATAAATCATGAAATACAATGTAGGAACAAATAAATATTGAATCTTTAGGAATTCGTTTTATTTATTCGAAAAACAATCATTATTGTTGATATCAAGTAAATTACCTGTAAAATACAATTGAAAACGGGCATTATTTACATATACTTCCGGTATCTGTAAAAGTAGAACTTCGATGATCGCAACTGAAAATTCCTGATTTTATTTACGTATTTTTTGAGATTGAATTTTTTGCGATTAAGACTTGATCGCAGAATTTCGCAAAATATAGCACCCCGTAGAAAAATCCAGTTATACGGTATGTACATGTGTAATCTGATTTTACAAAGTTCAATGCATAGAATATTTAGATTTTATAAAATTAAGTATGATGAAAACCAAATTGATACATCCTATGATATAATGTAGAATATTGTGTATTATAAAATAGTTATGATTGTATAGCCATAACTTTCAAATTTGAGGATGATGATAATGACTAAGTTAATACAGACTGTGTTATATTTTATCGTATGTATTGTACAGTTAAGTAGCTATTATTGTAGTTATAACTTACAAAGTTGAGGATGATGATGATGACTAAGTTAATACAGGCCGCGGTGATGGAGGAGATGAAGCTGGCCCGAGTTTTGATGATGTCCTCCTTGTTACCGTACAAAATGGCTGACATCACAATACGGTAAAGAATGACGGAAAACACTGCGGCCAAGACCAATGCCAACTGTCAATAGCAAACACATGTATAATGTAACAAGAGGCCCACGGGCCTTATAGGTCACCTGAGTATCATGGAACAAGTCTTTCAACTGAGTAAAATCAAATGTGGAAGGAAGAAATATACACATTTACCCCAGGAAACTTTAATTACAATAGAGTTATATGTAAGGTACTAATTGCTTCATTTTCATGTAATAATTCTGTACCATTATCATATGCCATCAATGTACGAATTTCAGGGGTTTTTTTCGCAGAAGTATACCACATATAATAATGAAATATTCTTTGTTATGCAACTTCAATGCATTTGCAGTATGCAGATGTGGGACCCTTGAGTAACACTGACCTTGTACAAGTTAGAGAGTCCTTCTATCCATACTAAACAAGTTTTGTCACAACTGTAAACTTTTAGTGCCACATTAAAAATTTCATATTCTAGAGTGACAAATTCTGCATTTGGTGGTTCTTATATATTAATGTTTCATTAATATATTATTGTTACTATGAGCACTTTTAAAAATAAACTCTGATATGTAGTAATCCTTAATGCCTTTCTTACAGTCTTTTAAACACACTGTAATAAAAAAAATGACACATTCATAAGAAGTCATATTAGATTTATTGGTATTTTAAATTAACTCGGTATAATAATGATTTTCATGCATTAATCAATGGAATTATTTATCATATATAACATCAGATTTTGAAAAGAAAGCATCATGAGAAAACATCTTATATCGTAGTATCTATTATGCAACAGCTTAAATTAAAATATTACACAATTATACTCAACATAAAAATTCAAAGTAAGGGAAATTAAAAAAAAAAAAAAAAAGACACTGCAAAGCAGACCATTCCTTTGCAAAATAGATCATCAATGTAGATTATAAATAACTGCTTTATTTACAAACTAAATGCATGTTTCTATAAACATGTAACTAGAACAATGATTGACTTTTAAATTGCGACCAATAATGACTAAAAGAATGAAGTTGTATTTATTGATTTAGCATTGCATTTATTTAGAAAGCTTGGTGAACAATTCATTTATATATTATTTACTTTGTTCAATTTTCAAACAATATGAAAATACCTTATTGGTCTACTTTTTGAAATTTTACCACCAAGCATATACTATGTTTGAAGCAATCTTCATTTTATTTCTGTATCATCTGAAAGAAGCAAGGTTTACCTCCCTTTACGGGCTGGCCATTGACCCCCTCTTTCTATGCTACTTACCTTTAAAAAGTGAATGCTTCATGTCTTTGGTGATTTCAGACAGTTAGAGCATAAGAATAGATAATGTGAAATTATGGTAGCATGAACATGTTTTTTTTTTTTTTTTTTTTTTTATGTACCTGAATTTGTCCACCAAGCATAAATTGTATATACATACTTTTTAAAATTTGCACAAATACATGTAGTAAAAATTGAACCATAAAAAATATCCTAAACTTTTTACAACATGATCAAGAATGTAATGAACAAATGAATACAATATGGCAAGAACGACAAAAATAAATTAAATACACAATTTTAATCATTCATCTCCAAAGCATTTTGAAACAATGCAGCTAGCACCTTTTAAACTCAGAGTATCTATGATTAAAATTTAATTAAAATATCTACATAATGAAAATTGATATCTATTAAGGGATATATTTCAAGGAAATTTAGCTGTATTCAGTGGACTTGTAGAGAACAACTTTTTTAATCTTACATTATGAAAGCGAAAAGAAAGATTAAAAGTTGTTTACAAAGACCTGAATACATTTATCAACACTTTTTTTTTTTTTTTTAGAAAAATAAATCTTAAGATCATTAGATACCAAAAATCCAGAGAAATGGGGTTTTATTATATATACTACATGAAGTAGTTTCTTGAATTGTGTTGTCTGTAGATTCCAATTAATTTTGTTGAGGTAAATGATGGTAACTTAAAGAATTCTAGATTTATGAGGGGGATATCTATTTCTTTATGTTTTTGCATAAAATTTAAATATACATAAAGAATATGTTTTAGCAATAAGTCTGTACAAAGTGTTTTATATGATTAGTCTTAATATAATTATGACAACAGATTATAATGAGTTTCACATTTGATGTAGCAAATTAAGGAAGACAGTCTTTTCATAAACAGAGTGTAGATAACAGTTTCACATGTAACACAGGAGCCAGTCCGTTCAGAAATGGAATGTAATTGGTTTAACAGTTTCATATTTAACACAGTAGATTGTCTTTTCAGAAATGGAATGCTGGTTTTTAAATTTCACATGCAACACAGGAAATAGTCTTTTCTATAAACAGAATGTTGATATAACAGTACATGTACTAGTCTTTTCACATCACACGGGCAACTGTACTGTTTATAATGTCTTTGAAGATCCCCTTTTGACAATGGGTTGTATAATAACTACAGTAATTTCTGTGTATAACAAAAAATTCTTTCATTCAAATACATAGTTACTTAAATTCTAATACATACTTAAATTCAATACATATGTATCACCCACCATAAGAAAATCTATTATTTAAGAAATCAGTGTTAATTTAAATGCCCATGAGAATTGAAATATGAATTTTATAATTATTATACATGTACATGCATTAATTACGAAAACAGATACAGTGTACAAAGTACTTTACAAACACAAAAACATAAAGAGCCCTCTATACATTGCGCATGTTGCACACTAAAAAGTTCTGATTTTGTGGCAATCTGTCCTTTGATCTAGACAAAAAGAAAATGATTACTGAAATGTATAGTGTATCGACAGTATCAGTTAATCTGTGAGTGTGATTCACAACACTTAAATAGGCAAATTAAATTAAATTAAATTGTATTCGAAAATATTCAAATGCTATTTGATTGTATTATTTCATCCAGACCTAATAGATCAAGTCTAATTTAAAAGGCATGGTCACTAAAAGCATGTTATAAAAATATCTTAATATTTGATCAAATCAAATCTTGCAGATATACACCAGTACAATAATTCATTATAATAATTTCATATATTTCAATTTAAAAAAAAAAAAGAACATGCATAATTACATTCAATTCATAAATGACTTGGATGTTTAGTTCAATAATTACAAAAGTATACAAATTTACATATTGTGTTATAACACAAAAATCTACATATTTCTGTTTACAGAAAACAATGCTGTGATGAAATTTGAATTGTCACATGTACTATACAAAATAAAGGCAGCCAAACTGTTTGACCTGTTTTTTTGAAAGTGTGCAAACATTACATACATATTAAACTAATTTAATCTCATGGGCATTCAATTTTTAAACACCATTTTGTCCCAATAACTTCGCAATAAGGAAATTTATGTATTAAAATTTTAAAATTATACACTACATGTACATTTGTACTTTTTTAAAAAATACTGGGGAGTTATTGGGACATTATAGGGTAGATGATGAGTGGCAACCCTTGATTTTGCATAACCACTCTTGGCAGTTTGTAAATATTTAGCTTCCAATGGAAACTAAATATTTACATACTGCCTGTGTTGTGCTCTAGAGGGTTAATTTTAATACTGGAAAATACAAATGCAGGTATATCATTAGGTAACTTAAGCATTATTTGCAGCACAATAAATCATATTATGGTCAGACCAATAAGCTTGAAGGACATCTGTTTGTATATCAGTAAAGTTGGTAAATATTAGGTCTAACTGTGTCTTGTTTTTTGTTGTTACCTTGTTTATCACTTGCTCACAACCAAAGTTTTCTTTCATAAAGTTTAGGAATTGTCCATACTGACCAGAATTCAGATCCAAATTACAATCTCCCATTATCACAATTTTTTCATCTTTGTTAACAAATGGAAGCAACCTGTTCTTCAAGGTATCGTAAAAATGTTGAAGAGTACAAGAAGGCTGCTTATATAATACTACACACTTTATTGGAGTATTTGATGGCATAATGGAAATTATGGAAAATTCAACAGACTTGGAAGTGAAGGAGTTGTATGTCAAACACTGTAAATGATTCCTCAAATATATGACAATGCCATGATGTGATCTGGTATGGGAAATGTTTGCATCATTTCTGAACATTGTAAAACCCTCCAAAGTGAAGTCTTCATCAGAATCTGCTTCACAAAGCCAAGATTCAGCTATACCAATAACATCTGCAGCTAAAACACTTGGTTCTGACTGTATATCAAAGAAGTGTTTGTGTAGAGACCTTGCATTGTTGAACAAAAATTTGAGATCTTTGCATACTGAGTAAAGTGGTATGTATGAGAGCTGCAATCTATTATCTCTCAATCTTTCCATCTCTTTATCAACATTTTCATCTTTTGAAAGACTTTTTTCATTGAAATCCAGAATGAATAGACCATCAAGTGACCTTACTCTTGAAAGTGCAACATAATGTATGTGAGGAATTTTTCGCTGCTTTGTCTGTGCTAAGCTGATCACTGCCTTTGAAAGAGTTGCTCCTTGTGCTTTGTGAATTGTTTTTCCAGCTGAAGGTTGGAGTGGAAATTGAACTCTTTCATAGGTCTTCCTGTTATAAACAAATGTTCTTTTAGCTTCAAATATGGGAGTCCATGTAGTGTTCACATTTGTGCTAAACAAATGGTTGTACTGATGTCTTCTTGATATACCTATACTGGAGTCAGCAAACAGAACCCATACTATGGCAGGTCTTAATTGTGATTGTCTATATTCAATGTATTTCACAACACATGAAGCACCATTTGTCAATCCATCTGTAACATCAAGATTCACTGATATGTCATAGAGCATATCCACAGCAATAACAAGATTTGTTCTTAATTGTCCAGTAGATGCTGGGCTTTCTGGCAAATTTTGCACTAGTTTCAATTTTACTGATGCAGAAAGTTTTGTCTGTGATAACACATCTGTGTCTGCTCTTACATTTACTTTAACTGTTGAAAGGTTTTCTATCAAATTGTTATTAAAACCATCGACAAACTTGTTCTCAATAAACAGATGAGGTGCCTGTTTAGGATAGATTTC